TGATTGGTTATCTCGATTATTCTGACAGTTTGATAGTTTAAGAGCAAAGATTATTTTAACGGTTATTTAAAATTTTAAAAATTTTATTAAAATATTTAGATTTCATAATTATTAAATTATTATAATAAGTGCACGGGCGCAGCGCGCGCTTGTATTGTTCTAGTATAACTATAAAAGTGTAATATAGAGGAGATGCCTTGGCAACAACTTTAGTGAACTTTGTTCTTTGATCAGAACATTTTTCCGAATACTTCATAACATGCTAATCTTTATTTCTAATTTTATTCATCTTATCAATTACACATGCGCGACAAACATCGATTACACAAGCGGCACAAACGATGCGTTATGCATATATATGCATATATCGCAGCGCGACGCATATAGTGCGACATTGACAACTCATTTCTGAAAGATGCGATTTTGAAACATAATAAAATCATATATGGTTGTATTCAGCGTAAAAAATGCTACAACTTTTGTCATAACAAAAATTTTGAAATTCGTAAAAATAATAAGAAGGGGTGAGGGTAAATTAAAAAATATAAAATTTTTTAAAAATCGAGCTACGCGGTTATAAAGCTCATAAAAGACCATGCAACTTTTATTCGAAACATTTTTTGATATCTCTTACAGTTTTGACAATATTCAGTCAAAACCAAAAAACCGTTTTAGCTTGTAGGGGTTGTTTCAACCCTAAACGTGCGAGAAAGCACATAAAAAAAATACGTGTCTCTTACTTTGAGCTACTTTACAACATATTTAAAGCTCGTTAAAATCGGAGGGGGACACTTGGGTCCCTTTCCTTGTAAGAAAATATATGCGTGTGAAGCCTTGTTGTCTGTAAAACATATTTTATTAAAAAAAAATTAAAATTACATTTATTATATTTATATTCGAAAATTATGTATATTTTATATATTCCACGTTCTCTATTTCTATGTTTAAAAAAAGTTTTCAGTGTGTATTATGTTCCTTACATAATTTTTTGATAAAATTTTTTACGGCATGAATAAGTGCAATTTTTTTCAATATTTATCTTTTCTTGTTTTATAAAAATTAAGGACTAAATGTTACATATGTCTTTCTTTTCTACAAACTACAATGTTTTTCTTACAGATCAGAATTCAAAATTACATTAATATGGTACTCCGAAAACTTTTATTAAATGGTGAATTAGTGTTAATCGCTATGAGAATTATTACTCTTTCAAATGCTAACAATACAGAATATGGACAAATTGCTAATAATACACAACATACACAATATAAACTAGTTGATAACAATACGTTGGAACATGTATGGATTGCTACAATACCGAATAGAAACAATACAGAACCAAAAAAATATTGCTACGAATTTCTCAAAATACAGAACATAAAATAATTCCTAATAATACAAAGTATGACCAAGTTGCTAACAATACAAAAGATGAACGGATTGCTAAACAATACAGAATATCAACGGATTGCTAACAATACGCAATATGAACAAATTGCTAATAATACACAACATACACAATATAAACTAGTTGATAACAATACGTTGGAACATGAATGGTATTGTTTTAACTTTTCAATGTTATGTTAAATATTACATATTAAAAATAAATGTGCGTCCACCGCGCTTTTTGTAAGAATTTTTATTACTGCGTTGACCCCTACCACCTCTGTTCCATCTTGGTCCTATAAAAAGTTTGTTATTAATATTTTATTTATTTTATTATTTGTTATTTATTTAATATTATATTTATGTGTTACTCACTTGTGAATCTATTTTCCATTTTACTCTTTTCTTCTTCCTTTTTTTTTCATCTTCGTTTTCCTTCTTTCCTTTTTCTTCGTTTTCCTTCTTTCCTTTTTCTTCATTTTCCTTTTTCTTTGCTACTGTAAATTTTGAAAAATTATTTAATTAGTTATATATACATATATATATAGTCTTGCGCAACGCGCAATTATTCGACAATCCTTCTTAATTAATATCTCAATTATTATTTTGAAAATTACAGAATAGCAAATGTAAAAATATAATAATAAATAATCATTTGCTATTCTGTAATTTTAAAAATAATAATTGAGATATTAATTAATGATTGTCGAATAATTGCGTGTTGCGCAAGACTAGATCATTGTGTATTAATCCTGATATTTTTCGTTATTTAACTCAACAGCAAAAAGTAAAAAATACTGTAGTTAAATAAAATAGCGTTCAAACATTTGTATTAATATGTGTAATGTATTTACCTATTTTTTTAAAGATTCTAACTCTTCTTCAAGTTTTTTGATTTTTTCAGCTGCATCTTGCAGCTGAATGTCTTGTTTCACCATGTCTACGTCTTTCAATAGGTCGTCTTCCAATAACTCTTTATCCGGATTTATTTCCAGTTTTGACATTCTGAAAAATAAAGATGTACATAATGTTGTATTATAAAATGTTGTATTATAAAAGTTGTATTGTAAAGTAATATTATTATTTTACTTACTTTTTTCTTATTCCTCCCTTATTAATTTTCGAGCTGGTGGCTTGTGCGCTTTCCATGTTGATTAACAATGTTTGTTATTTTACTATGACAACATTTACTATGACAACAAATCGATAATAAACAAAATTGTTTTCGCGGACATTATTTATTCTGCTCCCTGACAATATATATTGTCACGTCAGATTTGACACTTATTGGAGTAATTGGAGTATCGAAAACAATTTCCATTGTGTCTAAGTTACGGAATTACTGTTCATAAAAGCCAAAGTTTGCCTGAGTTTGCAGAATGCTTTTATGGACATAGGTAATTCTGTATTTAGTCACGGCCAAGTTTATGTTGCATTGTCACGAGTAACATCTTCAGATGGATTGCATTTGATCAATTTTGACCCTTCATCTATAGAAGCTAGTGAAGAAGCTATTGTTGAATATAATCGATTAAAACGAATACACAAATCCAAAACAGATATAATTTCTGTTTCAAAAGAAAAGTATCGTAAAATAAAAGATATTTTATGGGTACAACCCAAAATAATTAGTTCTGTTCAAGAATCACATAAAAAGTTCGAAAAAATATTACTT